TCAACAGAATGACACTTAAAACTGTGCAATGTGATAAGTATTATACAAAAATATAATGCAAGATCAAAATTCAAAATTATTAGTGATGCCACACTGTGTAAAATAATAAAAGTGTTCAATACACTGTGGTTATGATTTCACTCCATGCTGCAATTGTGCTCTTTGACTCTTGAAGTGACTCCCCTCATTAATAGCCAAAGTGCCCCCTCACCTTCAACATTCGACCCTTGCGGGTCACAAGGCTTTATATATATATAATATATATCTGCCAGGATATTGATACTCCACTGCCTCCACCGACTTTAATCAAGATCCTCCTCCAAGCAATGGGTTCCTCTCAAATACCTTCCCTCACAATACGGGCTCAAAAACAGGGCGCATATGCAAGAGAAGAACAGACCTCCATAGTGCAACACTGTTTTAATGCACTCAAGGTTAAGATAACAAAAACGCACTCACATATCCTCCAACAGAGAGAAGCAATTTCCCATGTGCTATGGGTATACTCAGGTGTACCAAGATGGCGTCCGAACCCGGAACCGGAAGTACGTCACCCCTATGACCGGAAATACGTCGACGCGTTGCGCCATGATCACGTGGCTTCTTCAGATCCTGAAGAAGCCACGTGATCGTGGCGCAACGCCTCGACGTATTTCCGGTCATAGGGGTGACGTACTTCCGGTTCCGGGTTCGGACGCCATCTTGGTACACCTGAGTATACCCATAGCACATGGGAAATTGCTTCTCTCTGTTGGAGGATATGTGAGTGCGTTTTTGTTATCTTAACCTTGAGTGCATTAAAACAGTGTTGCACTATGGAGGTCTGTTCTTCTCTTGCATATGCGCCCTGTTTTTGAGCCCGTATTGTGAGGGAAGGTATTTGAGAGGAACCCATTGCTTGGAGGAGGATCTTGATTAAAGTCGGTGGAGGCAGTGGAGTATCAATATCCTGGCAGATATATATTATATATATATAAAGCCTTGTGACCCGCAAGGGTCGAATGTTGAAGGTGAGGGGGCACTTTGGCTATTAATGAGGGGAGTCACTTCAAGAGTCACGAAGAGCACAATTGCAGCATGGAGTGAAATCATAACCACAGTGTATTGAACACTTTTATTATTTTACACAGTGTGGCATCACTAATAATTTTGAATTTTGATCTTGCATTATATTTTGTATAATACTTATCACATTGCACAGTTTTAAGTGTCATTCTGTTGAATATTACTATTGACCACTAGGGGGTGTATAATTTATGTGGGGGATTTTTGCACTAGATTTTTGTAGATTGATTATTATTTAATTTTGAAGGATATAAGTTGAGCGCTTTCATCATTTATATAATTTGTTTGCAAATAAACATGTTATACTCACCTGCTCTGTGCAGTGGTTTTGCACAAAGCAGCTCCTATCCTCCTCTTCTGCAGTCCACCATCGACACCCCTGGCCCCTTCTCTTCGGCAGATGCCTCCATGGAAAGCTGCTTTCCATGGGGGCACCTGTGTGGGCCAGCTACCGAGCCACCCTATCTGCGTCTATTGACAAAGAGCGGGAGGCTCGGACTCACCCCCCCCACTCACTTGGCACAGCATTTGATTAACAGCAGAGGGAGCCAATGGCTCCCACTGCTATCACTCTGCCCAGGGAGGAGAGAGACAGCAGCCAGAACTTCTGCTCTCATGCACATTGCTGGATTGGATCAGGCTCCGGTAAGAATAAAGGGGGCTTACATTTTTATTTATTTTTTGTAATTTTGTTAATTACCTAATTATTTAGGTATTTGGGTGAGGTAAAACTACAAAAATGACTTAGCGAAATGAACAAAAATAAAATGGTTATATATGAACAGTAAAAGAAAATCAATTTTGAAAATAGAGAAGCCAAGAAGGGAACTTGGGCATAATGAAAATGAATCAGGGTTACTGAGTGTTAATAAATTGTTAAGTAATGGGGAAGTAAAGGTAAAGAAACACCACAAAAATAAAAACTCTGGAATCAGAATATTTAGATTTGTATTCTTTTATTAGCTTGCAAATCAATCAAAGATGCTAAGACATTATCGTTGACAGTCTGCATAGCTAACAATGGCCACAGCTTGTTTATGTCAGTGTGAAATGTTTGGTGTTCAGGTTTTGGAAGCAGTTTTGTGGTTGGCGATCTCTATGTGCAGAGGACTGTCCCAACATTTGAGGTATTTAACCAGTACATAGGTGACATTCTGAAATATGTTTCTGAGTTCTGTTTCCTACCTAAGGACCCATTAATGCAATCTTTTTATATGCCCTACAACCCAGGATCACAGCGTAATAAAAGCAGATGAAAACTAGTTGACGTAATCATCTATGAAGCTCTTGACACCAATGTGCTGCGTTAGAAAGAAGTGCATTTTGATTTTGACAAATGTTTTTGGTAAAAATGTGTATTACCTTATGGTCAACATGGAAACGGTGAAAAAGCACTGACTGAAAACACAAAATGCATTTAAATTAGTGATTTTTTTTAATTAAAAGTCACATGGTACATGTCCCAGGAAGAAAATTCATGGAAAACTCACACAACCTGCTGTTTGCCTTGCATTACATTTTAATGTTACACATTATAATTGTACTAAAACATCTTATGTTCTTTCATTAAACCAGCTGTGAACTTTCTAACACAATGGGGTGAATGGGGTTTAAAACTTCTGTTCTTTATAAGCTGTACAGAACACAACCGAATCAAGATCAATCAGATCACTCTCAGACTGCTTTTGGGAAACCTCCAAATCTGTGATAACAAATCCCTCGTCACTGAGCATACTTCTCAAGTCGCTTTCATTATACTTTACCATATGGAACTTCTCTCCCCCAACTGTATAGAATGTGCCATTTAGAACTCCATAATACATCAACTGCCCTCCAGGTTTTAGAAGCTTTGAGAATCTCCTGAAATTTCTTGTAAAATCTTCAAGGTCTTTGCTGATGGCTTCTAGAATACAACATAACACCAGGCAGTCAGCTTGTGGTAGCCCAACTGGGTCTGTGAGATTTTCTTTGTTGAGATCGAATTTTACAACATGTGTAATTGCCGTCCTGAGTCCCATTTCCTTGTCCTCACATTGGTCACTGGAAGGAAAAGGCACATCCCTTGTCACGTAAAGCATTCAACTGATATTGTGTGATTATTGAGTATATTAAGTCTGAGATGGTGAATACCTGTCAGGAATGGACTGGCCAGCAATGGTGGGACTCACCTGCCTTATGGGCTGCAGTACCAGGGCTGGCCAGCGGGTGCTCCCAGCAATCAGAGACTCAACCTTGCAGCCAGCCAAACACCTGAAACTGCTTATATACTGGTGTATTTAAGGGATGGCCAGACCTGCAGACTCTGCCTTGGTGTGTGTGTTTTTCCTGGGCCCTGTATCTTGTTCCTGCATCCTGTTCCTGTTCCTGTCTTGTTGCTGACCCTGCCTGATCTGGACCTCTGCTGACTTCTCCTGCTGTGACCCCGGCTCGTTCCTGACCATCCCTCTGCCTGACCCTCTGTACCACGCTGCCCGATACCTGCTGAAGCTGGCTTGTGACCCCGACCATTCTCCGCTTGCTCCCCCTGTACCTACCTGCCCGATTGATATTGACCCGGCCTGCCTGACGACGCTTGCATTGTATGTACTGTCATCTGTGGGTGGTTGGTTTGGTTTTGTTTGCACTGTGTTATGTTTTAGTATTGCACTGCGTTTATGTTTGTATTGTTAGTGTTAATAAATTATATTGTTTATAACATATCTGAAGTCTGCGTTTCCCTGCGTCAGTCACAAACCTCTGGTCATAAAACCCGGGAGCCCTGACATTACACCAAGGCCAATCCTGACCAGAAGTGGCTGCACAGGGAAGCCATCTTGGTTTGTTGATGGGAAGGATGGATCTTGATGAGGTTGAGTATTTATATCTGCTAGTGTTTGATGACAGAGAGTATGCTTATCAGACTCTGAAGGAGTATCCCAGGGATGAACTGCTAGAATGTATACGGCTCGCTCATGTTCTAGCAGATCAGGGCACAGAATTCTCTGAGGTGCAGCCATTGATTCAGGTTTGTGCGGAGTTGGTTTCATCTGGTACCCCCGAATGCAGGGATGAATTTTTGCCGCCATTTAGTGCCGACCAGGTAGAGTCCCTGGTATGGTTATTAGAGGATGATGTGGATTACTTTCTGGAGCGTTATTCTGCATGTTCACCACAGGTATTAAGGGATTGTATAAACGCAGTGCAGTCTTTGGTCAGACAGGCTTTGTGTAAGCTCAGCTTTGTTCAACCCATACTGCAGACATGGACAGATTTGTTGCACCCAGCCTCAGTCAGCCTACAAAAACCCAGTCCTGCTTCTAATCTATTTCCTCAAAACTCTATTCCTGCATTCCCAACAGCTCCTCCTGCCCTGCTATCTACCGCTGTACCCTGTCAGTACCCTGTTCCACTCTCGCTGCACCTATCCTGCCTTTAACCCTGTAAAGAAGTCCTCTGTAGCAACTGTTCACTCCCCTGTTCCATCCTCCAGCTCTTCTCTGTCTCGCCAGCTGCTCCATTCGTTTGCAGACCTCGCTTTTACTTGCAGTGCTCCAGTAGTTAAAACCAGAAAAAAAGTGAAAATTCTTTCCAACCAATACCATCCTGCCAGTATCCAAACCGGTGAGCCTGCCGTCTGAGAACCTGCCTTCCGTGGGTGGGTTCAGCCTGGTGCCTCGGCACCCGCACTTCAGCCTGAGGCCTGTACCCAGCCTGAGGCCTGTACCCAGCCTGAGGCCTGTACCAGCCTGATGCCTCTACTCAGCCTGATGCCTCTACTCAGCCTGATGCCCTCCATTCATGCCCTGCTGTTGCCTGATGCCTCTACCCAGCCTGATGAACTGATCCAGCCTGATGATCCTATTAGGCCAGTTGACTCGATGCCCGCTGTTGAGTCCAGACGATCCGTGCCAGACAATCCGGTACCTGATCCGGTGCCCGCTGTCGTGCCAATTGACTCAGAGCCCGCTGTCGTGCCTGGTGGACATACTCGGTGCCCAATGCTTGGCCAGATGACGCGGTGCCCGCTGGCGAGCCAAATGACCTGATGCCTGGTGACCCTGTGCCCGCTGTCATACACTGGTGACCCGATACCCCGCTTGTCGAGCCAGACAATGTTGCCAAATTCCCCCCGGTACCTGATGACCGGTGTGCCCGCTGTCGTGCCAATTGACTCAGAGCCCACTGTCGTGCCTGGTGACCACTGCCTTGCCAGATGACGCGCGCAGTGCCCGCTGTCGAGCCAAATGACCTGATGCCTGGTGACCCCGATGCCACGCTGTCCGCAGCCTTTGGACGATTACCAATGTGTCTGACCCAGTGCCCGCAGTCATGCCAGTTGACTCGGAGCCCACGTGCCTTGCCAGATGACGCGGTTTTGCTCGCTGTCGAGCCAAAATGACCTGATGTGCCTGGTGACCCGAGATGCCGCGCTGTCCAGCCAGACGATCCAATGTCTGTGACCCAGTGCCAGCATGGTGTCATGCCAGGTTGACTCGGAGTCCCCCTGTTGTGCCTGTGACTCAGTGGCCTGTCGCTCCGCCTGGGGGTCCGTGCGCGCCGCCGCTCCTCCTGGGGGCCCGAGACCTGTCGCTTCGTCCTGGTGGCGGGTCTCGGCGCCCGCCGCTCACGCCTGGGGGCCCGAGAGACCCTGTCGCTCCGCCTGGGGGTTCCGGCCGCCAGCCCGCTCGCGCCTGGAGGCCCGAGACCTGTCGTTTCGCTCCTGGGGGTCTGGGGGGCGCCTGCCGCTCCGCCTGGGGGCTCGCAGACCTGGTCGTTCCGCCTGGGGGCGCCCGGCGCCCGGTGCTCCGCCTGGGGGCCGTCGCCCCTACTCCCCCTCGCCCCTCCTGGGGGGGCCCGGTCGCCCGGCCGCTCCGCCTGGGGGCCCAGCGCCGCGCCCGCCGCTCTCCGCTTGGGGGCCCGATATGCCTGTCGCCCCGCCTGGGGGGGGGCCCGGTGCCTGTCGCCCCGCCTGGGGGTCTGGTGCCTGTGTTGCCCCGCCTGGGGGCCGCCGTGCCTTGCTGCTCCGCCTGGTGGCCCGCTGCCTTGCTGCTCCGCTGGTGGGCCCCGGGTCCTGCTGCTGGTGCTTCGCCTGGTGATCCGATGTGCCTCTGCCCGGAGTCCAGCCCGATGTAGCCTCTGCCCGGAATGTCCAGCCCGATGTGCCTCTGCCCGGAGTCCCAGCCCGATGTGCCTCTGCCCGGAGTCCAGCCCGGGTGTTGCCTGCTGCCCGGTGAAGTCCAGCCCGGTGTGCCTCTGCCCGGTGTGCCTCTGCCCGGAGTTGCCTCTGCCCGGTGTGTGCCTCTTGCCCGATTGCGGCCTCTGCCGCCGGAGTCCTGCCCGTGTTGTGCCGCTGCCCGGACGAGTCCTGCCCGTGGTGCCAGTCTTTGATATCCCGCAAGTTACCAGACCCGGGCGGTGGAACATTTTGCCCAGCTAGGACTATTTGGAGCGTCCTGAGGCCGCTCCTTGAGGGGGGGGTACTGTCAGGAATGGACTGGCCAGCAATGGTGGGGACATCACCTCTGCCTTATGTGGTCGGGCCTGCAGTCAGTACCAAGGGGCTGGCCAGCGGGTGTTGCTCCCAGCAATCAGAGACTCTACCTTGCAGCCAGCCAAACACTGGAAACTGCTTATACGTGGTGTATTAAGGGCATGGCCAGACCTGCAGGACTCTGCCTTGGTGTGTGTTTTTTCCTGGGGCCCTGTATACCTGATTTTGTTCCTGCATTCCTGTTCCATGTTTCCTGTCTTTTTGCTGATCCTGCCTGATCTTGGACCTCTGCTGACTTCTCTTCTGCTGTGACCCCCGGCTCGTTCACTGACCATCCCTCCTGCCTGTCACCCACTGTACCTACGCATGCCCGCTACCATGCTGAACCTAGGGCTTGTGACCCCGACGAACATTCTCCGCTTGCTCCCCCTGTACCGTAACTGGCCCGATTGATATTGACCCGGCCCCGGGGCCTGACGACCGCTTGCATTGTATGTACTCGTCATTGTGGGTGGTTGGTTTGTTTGCACTGTGTTATGTTTTAGTATATTGCATGCGTTTATGTATTGTAATTGTTAGTGATTAATAAATTATATTGTTTATAACATATCTGAAGTCGTGCGTGTTCCCTGCGGTCAGTCACAAACTCTGGGTCATACACGGGAGCCCTGACAATACCACTAACATTTCTGAGCTGTGGTAAGAGCCTTCCAGGTATCAGTGGGAGAGGAGCTGTCAACTCCATCCATTTACCATAGAGATGAAGAGCTTACAGTTATATCCAACTAACCACCAATGCTGTAGAGTGGAGGACGGAAATATTCCAGCCAGCTATTAGTCACCAATGCTGGGAAGGGAGGGGATGCTTTCTAGTTCCAGTCCCAGCCACTGACTGCTAATGCTGAAAGGGGTTTGCTCCAGCCAAACACTAAACCAACAATGCCGGGGGGGGGTTATTATTCCATACCAGCCAGCCTACCATCAATGGGGGAGGTATTTGTATTGCCAGATCCTGACCTCCTATGTGTGTGTGTGTGTGTGTGTGTGTGTGTGTGTGTGTGGGGGGGGGTTATTGTACAAACCAGACATGTAGCCACCAATGTTGGGGGGGTATTTTTACAGGCAGTCACTTGACCACCATATACCTCTAACCAGAATAATTTTGTTTTAACTGTTGCTTGTTGCTATGTTGGCCACTGACTATTTTATGAAGTTCTTCTTTAACCACTTGACTGCTGGAAGATTTTATTCCTCTTCATGACCAAGCTATTTTTTGCTATTTGGAACTGCACTACATTTTTTTTTCACACAAATAGGGAGCTTTCTTTTGGAGGTACTTAATTTACTATTGGGTTTTTTATTTTTTAAATATATAAATGAAAAAAGACCAAAAGACTTTGAAGAAAAAAAAATAATTTTTTACATTTTGCTAATAAAACATATCCAATATAAAAATAAATGTATGGCCAAAATGTATGTGCCACAAAATGTCTTTGGTAAAAAAAAATCTGAATAAATTATGTATCTGTATTGGTTTGCATTAAGTTTATATTTAGGGGTCTACAAATGACGGTATATATATACTAGCGTTTCTATTTATTGTCATTCTAGTAATGGGGGTTTGTTCAACGAACTTATAGTGGGACTTTGATAGTTGCGGGTGGGCCAATCTGACACTGAGTGTGAACTGACTAACTGCCACTGACATCACCAGTGACACTAATATCAGTGGATCAGTGCTAATAAATATGCACTGTTCAGCTGTATTAATGACACTGTGTAGGAAAGGTTAACAATCTGGGGCAATCAAAGGGTTAATTGTGTGCCTAGCAAGTGTTCATGAGTTTACTGTGTCTTGATTTTACTTAGGGATGTGTGACAGTTTTTTATTCTCCTGGCATAAAACATCCCCGCTGTCAGTAGGGAGAGATCTGTATTGTTTACCAATACAGATCTCTCTCTCCTCTCATCTCCTGTCAACGATACATCTTCACTGTAGTGTGTATGTATATTATATTATATATATATAATATATAGTGAAGATAAATAAGTATTTGATCCCCTGACTGAGTGTTTGAATGTTTGCCCACTCACAAAGAGATGATCAGTCTAAAAATGAATGCTAGGTGTATTGTAGCACCGGAGTAGACAGATATAGCAACAAAACATTCAAAAAGAAATGCATGTCTAACCAATGATGCACTGATTTGCATGTTGATGAGGGAAAAAAGTGATATTTGATCCCCTATCATTCAGTAGATTTCTGGCTACCAGAGTGTCTTTCATACAGGTAACAAGAGCTGAGATTAGAAGCAGTCTCTTAAAGGAGTTGCTGCTAATCTCATTTGTCACATGTATAAAAGACACACCTGTCCTAAGAGGAGCAGAATCAAACAATCAGATTCCAAACTCTCACACCATTTGGCAAAGAGTCCAAAGAGCTGTCCAAGGATGTTCAGGGGACAAGATTGAAGGCCTACACAAGTTCTGGACTGGGTACCAAAACTATCGCCAAGCAGCTTGGTGAGAAGGTGACCACATACAGTGGGTGCAATCATCGCAAATGGAAGAAGAAACACAAAACTGTCAGTCTCCCTAGGACTGGGTGCAACCATGCAAGATCTCACCCTCGTGGAGTGTCTATCATCACAAGAGCAGTGAGGAATCATCCCAGGAAACTACCACGTGAGGATCTGTTCAATGATCTCCAGGCAGCTGGGGACCACAGTCACCAAGGAAAAACAATTGGTAATACACTATGCTGACAAGGATTGAAGAATCCTGCAAGCTGCCTGGGCAAGGTCCCTCTGCTCAAGATAAGCACATGTCCAGGCCATCGTCTGAAGTTTGCCACTGAAACATCTGAATGAATGCAGAGGAGGACTGGTTGAAAGTGTTGTAGTCAGATGAGATCCAAAATTGAAGCTCTCTTTGGCATCAACTCAACTCACCGTGTTTGGAGGAGGAGGAATGCTGCCTATGACCCCCATGAACACCATCCCAACTGTGAAACATGGTGCGGTGGAACATTCTGCTTTTGGAGTGTTTTTTCGTCTGACTCTCTGTGATTGCCAAAAAAATGGGGATTTGCCCACCAAGTACTAAGTCATGTGTTTTGTGAAGGGGAACAAATACCGTATTTTTCGCTCCATAAGACGCAACTAGGACCATAAGACGCGCCTAGGTTTTAGAGGAGAAAAACAAGAAAAAAAATATTCTGAACCAATGGACTCGCAGACATAGTACAGGAAGTGAACAGACACACTGGCGGACACAGTACAGGAGATGACCAGAGACTGAGCGGACACCAGTACATGAGATGACCAGAGACTGCGGACATTAGTACGGGAGATGGACCAGAGACTGCTGACAGTGACGGGGATGACATGAGGGGCAGAGACTGCGGACAGTACAGGAGATGACCAGAGACTGCGGACAGATACAGATGACCAGAGACGACTGCGGACAGTACAGGGGATGACCAGAGGACTGCTGACAGTACGAGGGGATGACCAGAGACTGCGGGCAGTACAGATGACCAGAGACTGCGGACCAGTACACTGGATGACCATGAGATTCTGCGGACAATACAGGAGAAGGACCAGAGAGACTGCGGACAGTACAGGGGAATGACCAGAGACTATGCGGACAGTACAGGAGGATGCACCAGAGGACTGCGAGACAGTACAGGGGATATACCAGAGACTGCGGACAGTACAGGGGATGACAAGGAGACTGCGGACAGTACAGGAGATGACCAGAGACTGTGGACAGTACAGATTGACCAGAGACGTGAAGAACAGTACAGGGGATGACCAGAGACGGCCGGCAGTACAGGGGATGACCAGAGACTGCGGACAGTACAGGGGATTACAGAGACACAGCGGACAGTACAGGGGGATGACCAGAGACTGCGGACAGTACAG